CACGCTTGTGTACCACGCCACGACGTTGGTCGTTAAGTGGTGTTCATTTTTCTAACTACTCCAGTGTTCCGATGAGTTGAACGGAAAAGCCAAAACGATTGCTGGTTTCTGATTGCTTCGGTTCTGGTGAGTGTGTATCTAGTGTGATTCGAACCCATGTCGTTTGTATTGGGCGTTTTTTTATTTCCCATGTTAGCTACGCCGTAATATGCAACCACTTCCCCGTTTTAGTGTGATTTTGAGTGTTTAATGATGTCTTCCTCACCCGTCACGCCATGACCCAGTTTCAACCACACGGCCATTTTGCAACACAGTTCGTGACCCTCGGCGTCACCCGACTGACTATATGAGCGTTCTCTTCAACTGTTAAGCTAGGATTTATTACCGTTATTATCATTATATTGTCACGTGATTTGTTTTACCTTATGTGTAATGTCTTAAGTATCTTTATTGTAATTTGTATATACCAATTCGTATATACCGAGGAAACGACCCCGATTGAAGGTCATGTATTTTATGACGTCACCAATTCGTGTGTAGGTACTGCTTCTAGATCTGTGCCGGGGGGCAATATTAAGTTTGGCCATTAAATCACTTATCTGATCATTGTCCTATATCTGTGTCTCTGTCTGCATGTGTTAAACATAATATGGTAGATGATCATAGCCTGCTTTCCCCTTTACCCGGCAAAATTATCTGGGATGGCGACAATCGGGAAAATTATATTAAAGCAATTTCTATTAAGAATATAGGGGAAAAACTTCAACATTATCAGATTTCTAATTTTGTTGATGTTGATGAAGCAGTGGCTAACTTCAATTCAATTATTATTAATGCAGCAAAGAGTTTTTTTAAAGTTATCAATTCAAAAAAAAAAAAAAAAGGCTAATAAACCAAAACATAAAAAGTGGTTTGACAATGATGTCAGTGAGGTAAGAAGAAACCTAATTAAATATTCGCATTTATCAATAGTATTAGACAAGAACGATATAAAATTAATAAAAAATACAAGCATCTAATTAAGAATAAAAAAAAGGAATATAAAGCTAATTTATGTAATAAAATCATTATGCTTAAAGAGTCTAATCCTAAGTGTTTCTGGAAGTTACTTGAGAAACTTGGTGATTTAGATAAAAACCCACAAAAGCATGACAACATCAGTGTAGAGTCATGGTTAAATCACTTTAAATGTTTAAATAATAAAGTTAACGTGGAAGATAAAAGCTTCTCACAGACTATTGTAAATGATATTAGTAGTATGGAAAGTTTAGATGATTACAAACACATTATTAATCAAGATTTCACTAATAAGGAAGTATTGCAGCATATTAAACTTTTAAAGTCAGGCAAAGCTTCAGGCACTGATATGATTTAAAATGAAATGTTGAAGCATGGGGCTCCCTTTATTATTAATTCTCTTACTAAAATGTCCACACAAGTTTTAAATTCAGGCATTATGCCATTACATTGGAACAGTAGTCTCATTATTCCTATTTTAAGTCAGGTAACCCAAAGGATGCTAATAACTATAGAGGCATTGCCATTTCTAGTATGTGTATTTAAATTATATATTATGATGCTAAATACTAGATTAACTAAGTA